TGGCTGGTGGGTTTGAACCGCCAGCCTTCTGGTTAGCAGTCAAGTGCCTTAGGCACTATGCTACCAGAGCTCCTGTCTCAGGACACATACTTGGTCTAATAACGTTTACTTTTAGTTTTGTAAATTATCTAAGCTGAAACTGGAAAATAGAAGCTAATATTTAAAAAGACCACCAGAAGTTTGTCTAGTGTGTTGTTTCCCCGGGCTAGCCCATTTCTACAGTTTTTGTCATGAAATTAGCCTTCGTAAAATCAGTGTATTCTTTGTTGAAGGTTGTCCAGCATCCTCCTGCAGTGATCAGGTAACTCGGAGCCCTGCATGTGGACATGCATGCATAGTTAGGGTGTTTTTTTTAATTATATTGAAAGCATTCTAATCCAGTTTTGTATGATGCTTTGCTTCTGTCAAACCCACAGCTCTTTCGTTATTTCCAGTCAGTAATCATTCAAATGTTTTCTTTTCATCGAATCCTTTGTCAAATATAAGCCTAATTTTTTTTTAATGACCTACCTTTCTGTGTCTAGGACAAGGGAAACAAAGAGCTGACACCAGTCTCCCATATATCTGTGAATTACTGTTTTTTATAGTTTTGGACCAGCTCAGTCCCAAGTTCCAAATGCCATGTCCCTGCAAGTTGGAACAGCAGTGGTCTATGAACTGTTTCTACCACATTTAAGGGCATGCAAAGATTTGAGGGGCACAGTGTTGTAAGGTTTGAAAGACTTAAGTTGTAGCATCAAGAAAAACACATGGCGTTCTTTTTTCAGACATTCTGTGGGATGATGCACACCCAGGGGCTTAAGTTCCATTTTTGCAGCAATAGTGTTTGCTATCTGCTAATGAAATGATCCCTTATTTTAAAAACAACTATTCCTAATATAACAAGAACTGGGATAAATGCATATAAAATCAGAAAGTTTGCTGTGAATCTGGAAGTTGCACCTGGGCAGGTTCTCTCAATGAAGTCAGTTCCTTGAGTGAATGTGCACAGTGGATTAGCTGTCACAGAACCATTTGAGCTGCCTGTCAGGGAAAAGATTGACAGTGTCAGATACGGTATGTCCCAGGTAATTAAATCAAAAGTAATTACCATATGCCCACCAAGTGCTTAGCACTCTGCCAAATACTTCTCCTTACTAAAGACACAGAATGTTTTAAAGATCCCAAAATTCATACTTAATGAAACAACAGTGAGTGTTCTAGGACCTGGCTTCACTAAAGACATAAATGAGACTGTTTCTTTTGTGGGTACGGACTCATCATGTTGTTGTAAAGAAGCACTGGTGGCACAGTGCTTGGTTGCTAACCAGAAGGTCGGTGGTTCATACCCACCAACCACTCCACAGGAGAAAGATGTGGGAGTCTGCTTCTGTAACAGTTACACCCTTGGAAACCCAGTGGGGCGGTTTTGCTCTATCTTACAGTCAAAGAGTTGACAACAATGGGTTTGGCTTGGTATTTTAGTGGTGGTGGTTATGTGCCATCAAGTCAACTCTAACTCATAACAACCCCATGTGACAGAGTAGAACTGTCCCAAAGGGTTTTCTAGACTGTAATCTTTATGGGAGCACATCACCGTCTTCTGCAGAGCCACTGGTGGTTTGAACCTTTTGGTTACAGCCAATCGTGCCTCCATAATTCCCCATAGAATACCATATTTATTACCATAGTACTGATTAAAAAAATCACTTAGTAATGAATCTCCTAAAATTATTGACATCATTACCCAAGAATACTTAAAGCAACTACTAACTTAAACCCTGTTCACTAGTTGTGTTCATAGAGTAGCCTTGATACTTCTAATGCCCATGAAGACCAAATCCCACTGCCTTCTTGTGGAATTTAAGAACAGCCTTTTGCCAAAAGTGGCTTTACTCATCTACATCCATGTACATTTTTGTGGAATAAGAAGCTACTCCAGCTTGCCTCAACCTGTTCAGGAGCTATATAACTGATTTCTTCCAGAATATACTAGTATTTACCTCAGTGCACATTTGGCCTGCCATTGTCTAATAACTTCAGCATTGTTGTTGTTGTTATATGCCGTCGAGTCGACCTCGACTCATAGCGACCCCTCCTTGGGTTTCTGAGGCAGTATCACTACAGAAGTAGATTGCCCAACCTTCCTTCCCAGGAGTGGCTGGTGGGTTTGAACTGCCAGCCTTCTGGTTAGCAGGCAAGTGCCTTAGACACTATGCTACCAGAGCTCCTAACTTCAACATGGCTTTAACCTATTGACCTCTGAAACGTGACTAACTTGAGCAACCATTTGTTTTTTTAATTACTGTTTTAAAAGTCAGAGAAAATGTTGGACTTTTATTTCAAAGCAAGGCTTTACATCTGTTTATTAAAAAATACAGCTTTTATTTCAAAAATACATCTCCCTCAAGAAATTGCTTCCTCAGAATAATGTGTGAAAATAATAATTCAGAGTTGAATACTTACCACAAGTGAAATTCAGGCCATAGAACTCATTGACTATAAGAATCTCACAACAATATTTTTGGAATGTAAAATAACTGAAGATCTTAAAAGGAATAGGCATTTCTTCTATGTTTCTTAAGAAAAAGAGAAAAGAAAGATGAAATTCAATGGACACTGATAATAGTCCTACCAAATGAAAAGAAAGGCAATCCTTATTTTATCATGAAAATTATGCTTACAATAAAGAAAAAACTTTGAACAATTCTGAGAAGTATAAAGAAAAAAGTAAAAGTTACCTGAAATACTACTGCACAGAAATAACTATTGTTAACATTTTGATAAACATGCATTCAGCTATCTCTTTGTATGTATTTATTTGTCTGTATATACACACAGACACACACACACACACAAACAAAAGCTGGAACCTGTGTAAGGCAGAAACCTGTCAGAGAAGGGAAATGCAAATATTTTCCACTAAAATGAGTGATAGAAAAGTGATAAGACTGCACCTTGTTAAAGGCAGAAAATTCATGAGACCTGGAAAAAAAGACACTCCCTTCAAATTCCGGCTTTCATGGGTTTCACTGTACATATGTGTGTATATATAGACATATAGATACATAGATGTGTGATGTATGTATCTGTGCTTATAGAATTTTATATAAATGGAATTAAACTGTTCATGTTCTTTCCTAATCTGTTTTTCTCCCAAATATATATGTGTTGGACATCTTTCCAAGTCAGTAAGCATAGCACTCCATCATTTTTAATCGTAGCTTACTGTTCATTATAGTTGTTGTTGTTGTTGTTGTTTTTGCCATCAAGTCGGCCCCAACTCATAGCGACCCCTCCTTGGGTTTCCGAGGCAGTATCACTACGGAAGTAGGAATGCCCAACCTTCCTTCCGAGGAGTGGCTGGTGGGTTTGAACCACCAGCCTTCTGGTTAGCAGTCAAGTGCCTTAGCCACTATGCTACCAGAGCTAGTAACCTTAATTTAACAATCCCCTGATGATTATTTGATGTCTAATTTTTTGTTTGTTTTTGTAACCACAAAACATAAAATGTAAACATAAAAGGAAACACACTTCACACTGCATTACCAAACCAAACAAAATTCAGTGCCATCAAGTCGATTCCAACTCATAGCAACTCCCCATTGGGTTTCCAAGGCTGTAAATCTTTATAGAAGCAGACCACCTTGTCTTTCTTCAATGGAGTAGCTGGCGGGTTCAGATCACTAACCTTTTGGCAAATGCCTTAACCATTGCACCTCCAAAGCTCCTTAACACATACACTGCATCAGAGGGGGATATTTGTGACTAAAAAGAGAGTTGAGAGTACTAGTGTATGCAGTAAAACTAGACTAGACTACAAAGGAAAAAGGATGGAGAGAACAACCAGTCTATTTCAGGAAAACTTTATACTGAATAAAGAAAACATCTGAATTATTACTTTATCCATTAATCATCGGAACATGGAATGTACGAAGTATGAATCTAGGAAAACTGGAAGTTGTCAAAAAGGAAATGGAACGCATAAAGATTGATAT